TTTTAATAAATCTGCAAAAATGTCAACGATTCTGTGTTTTTCTGTCAATATGGGGTGCTGTGTGTACATTAATGAGGAAAAAAAATTAACTTAAATGATTTTAGCAAATGGCTGCAATATAACAAAGAGTGAAAAATTTAAGGGGGTCTGAATACTTTCCGTACCCACTGTATATATATTTCAGCCTGATATTTTCACAAAGCCCCTTTCAGAGCGACAGTAGCAGGCTTCCACCAGAAAGGGAAATGACCCCCCTTTTTCTCACTCGCTCTCTACAGCAGCCAAAAGGCAGGTGCACAAGCCCAGCTGAAACCTCAAATTCCTGCCTACCAGTTTTCCACTGTCAGCTCTTTCTGTAGGTGTGTGACCACCTTTGTCCTACACACACACACACTTGGTTATTTTTGTGAGCTAGTGATGGGGTGTGAGCACAAAAAGAACATGGAAAACGGAAGGAAACAGAGCAAGAAAGAGGCAGAGATGTGACTAGGTGATCTCATTACAGCGGTCACCCCATCTGTGTTAGTGTCAGAGATATCGCAGCTGGGGGGCACACAATGGAAAGTCCACATAGTCACAGAATGCAGTCATTTTTTAAAGCTACCATTCACCGATTCAAACTAATTACGATCATGATTTATGGCAAAACTGAACAAACAAAGGGGGTCAATTTAAATGACAAAAGTGAAAAGATTTTCCTTAAATTTCTACAACAGTAAACTAGCCCAGTATGCTTCACAATAAAAGCAAAACAAATACATTTTTAAAAAATTAAAAAAACATTTTTACAAATAAATTGTAAGATATCATTTTATAATTTCAAAATATTATTATATTTTCTAAATAAACTTTTAATGAAAGATGAAAAGGGAAATGTGAGAAAAAAGAAAGTGACCAGGATGTAGGATGGGAAGGATGAGAAAGAATGAGAAGGAGTGAGTGGCAATGCAGCGCTGCAGAGCTGCGCAAGTCTGAACAAAGAAAACTATACATCCATAGGTAAAGCCTATGGCAATCGGCGACCAAGCAGTCCATTGTTTAGGAAACAAATATAAATGGCAACATGCAGCTCAGAACATCATCTCCAGAGGTCATTGTTCTGCAGCCGTGCTCTTGTGCACAGTAACAAAAAGATATGTTCAAACTTCTGGTTCTACAGGTGATGGAGCAGATAAAGCGACGGTACTTTGAAAGACAACACAAACATAGACTGACACCACACACACGCACACAAAAAAAAAAAGTTTAGTTTAGGGTTTGTATGTACAAATTAGGGGGTGCATTAGCATGAGAAAAAGCATGTGACAGAGAGTGATGACAGTGGCGTTGAGGGGAGCAGCAGGCGAGGGCTGCCACGTCCCGATCCAGGGGGAATGAATTAAAAGTGTCACCAAGCACATGGGTGGTTTAAATAGTCCATCAGGGACGCTCACAATCACATGTGAAACCATATGTGCTCTGTGCACATATTATCATGATGCACCATCCGCTCCTAATGAATGACTAAAAGACAATCCTTGCAGCTGAACTCTTAAAACAGCCTCAAATTCCTTTTTAATAAAATAAAATCACAAAACAAGAAAAATGAAGTACAACTATCAAGGATTACACGTCCTGGAAAAAGCATGGTTCTTACGTTAATTCATGTTGACAACCGCACATGTTTCCATCCATACAAAATCCAGGACACTTCCCACACAATAGGACAAACACTAATTGTCATTGTGCTCCCCTGACAGTCTGTTCAGAGCGTTACAATAGCCATAAGACAGAAAAGACGAAAGCAAAGACAGTGACCGTGAAAAAGCAGAAGAAAAGAAGAATGGTGTCTCCCTTACCGTCCTCCTCGGGATCCTTTTTGAGCTGCATGTATACAGCCTGCACTCAGCTGTCTGTGACACAAGTCCTCTTATTCTCTCTATCTCCCTCTCCCTCTCCCACTCACTCTCGCTTTCTCTCCACCCTCCCTCGCTCGCTCTGCCTTTCAGACTAAAGCCAGAGGGAAAATCCCTGCTCCTAAATTCAGATGCTGCTGGTTTAACAAACCCTCTCAATGGAGAAGTCGGCAGCAGCCAATGAGAAAGCAGGAGGGGAGGTGGACACAACCATATGAGACGGAGAAAGAGAGAGCGGAAAGCTCTGGGGAATGATGTAGGAGGGGGGGCGGGGAGCGCTCCTCCTAGAGAGAGACAAGGCAAAGACGCTAACACACGCTGAGGTGAACACAAACCGGGACACATGCATCGAACCGCTTCACAGCCACATTGTTGGAAATGTAAGATTACCAGATGCTAAAAGTGTGCTGGTTGCCTAAACACTCATTAATTTATTAATTAACTAATATATATAATTTATTTATTTTACATATATTTATTGCATTATGTGCACATATGCCTATAGGTACAGAGATAGAAAAATGCTGTGTTTTCACATTCTGCTAAAGAAAACCCTGCTTCCTCAACATAATATCAATATTCTGTGGACATTTATGAATGAACAAGCTCAAATACATTCAAGACAGAACAAGCTGAAAAGGCACAGAGCAAAGAAAGAACCATGTATCAAGTGACATTTCCATCCCTTATGTCATACGAATGCCCATTAAGGGATGTTAGAAGCTGACTTTCCCTTTGGTGTCGCTGCACTTTTGTTGTCCAACCACAGCACACTGCTCCGGCAGCCTTTATTACACTCACACATCACTGGCCCTAAGAGACAGGGGCCAACTTTCCCCTGGGGGCGGCGTGGCACCTGTGCTCATTGGACACTGCAATGGAACAAAGCGGTCGCTTGCTTGTTTGCAGACGCTCGCACATACAGGGCCGTACCTCGGAGCCTTTCACATCTCAATTCCGCGGTAATAAATATTCTAATGAACATCTGCACAGGAACCTCGTTCTGTTTCTTTCCTTTCCGAGTCACTCTTTCTAATCTACCCATCTTCTCTCGGGCCAGGCGGATTTCACTGTCCCGCAGTACCTCTCTAACAGCGTCTCGGAGATGAAATGCCGCGAGTTGAGGAAGAAGCAGATGATAAGTCAATGTGTGGCTATTGACAGTACATGGGGACAAACGGACGGATAGAAAAAACGAGAGATCTGATAAACCTGTGTGCAGTGGCACAGAATGAAAGATAAGATAAATGTGTGGGTTGATCACACGGTGCTGTGCTCATTCATCCCCTTGGCAGAGCAATCGAAGGGCTATTCAAGCCAGAATCCTGCTTGCCAGATCCGTACAGTCCACCACAGCTCATTTTCTAGGAAACGAGTAGATTAGAACTGAGCGTTAGGCATTGTTCCTTTGAAGAACGCAGAGAATAAAATGAACGTAATAAAATGATTCATTCTGCCCACTCTTGGAATAAGGCTGCATTTGGACCAAGAAACAGTTAACTGTATGCGGATACATAAAGACACCACCATCTTCACAATCTAGCAACCTTCATAAAATGTTACAGACGGACTGTCAAGAAATGATGCACAAAATGTGTTTTGTGCTTTTGCATTAAACACAGTTTGTCTTAAAACCCCTCACAATGATCACACGGAAGTAACAGCCTCATGCAAAACTGTCAAACAGTCTCTTTTCCCATTCCATTAACATTTCACGCTTACAAAAGTGTCATCCGTCTCTTTATAGCAGGAATTAACGACATGAATTAACGACCCATTGTCAACTATGCCTGTGACTTCTGAATGGAATCCAGTTTCCAGTCTATGACATCATTGTTAATGGCAATACAATGGTGTCAGAGCTTAATAGATGACACATGAATGGCACTGAATTTGAATAAGGAGCACAGAACACCAAAACTAACATTCAGAAAGCTGGGAAACTTACTCCGAAAGACCCCTGAAGAGCTTTCACCATATATAATTCTGTGACTTCACTGGTCTACCAGCTATTTAGTCCCTATTTGCAAAAACAGCTCAGGAGCAGATCCTGTATAACACCACTTAAGGTGTCAAACCAATTCATAGAGTGCATTTCGGTCTCTCCACATTTTGCATATCAATACCATTTGTGGTGAGCCATGCAAAACGTCCAAATCTTTTGAGGAAAAACTGACAAGACTATAGCAGGACCTGTAACACTATCTGCCTATAAAGATTTTCATTTAACCATTTACAGTCCCAAATTACAAACAAAATTATAATATTATTTGATATATACAGAGAGGTTTACTCTGGACCTTAAGAGATAGTTCACCCAAAAGGAGATATGCAAAATGACATCTCATTCAACATTAACTTTCATTGTATGAAAAAAATGCAAAAAAAAAAAAAAGTCATACAGATTTGATACAATAAGAGGGTGACTAAATGACAGAATTTTCATATTGAGATGAACTATTACTATAAAATAAAAACTACAGAGGGATGTAGACTGTTGCACTCTCTTCAGGGAGGAAGAGGCTTTAATATGGCTCCCGTCTGACTGAGAAGTCGGTTATGATGCATTTAAAATGTACACGATAATGTTAATGCAGACAGTGCATTTATAAGTACGATTAAGGCACATTTTACTGATACGCTGACAGCAAATGAACAATTTTAAGATGGCGAAATGGGTTTCTGTAAAACAACGAGTGGGAATTTTAAATGCCAGCCATACATGACTAGCTGTACGCAACATTAAAATAAAATACATTTTAACTATAAAGAGGCGCAAGATCCAGTTGTTTAAGCAGACATATGACTGCAATGTCGGAAAATGCTAATGTGTAAATGTTAAATACGCTAAACGTCATTCTTTCATAAAACACAAAAGGAGATCTGCAGAATGACATCTGAGTCACCATTCATTTTCACTGTATGAAAAAAAGATACAATGAAAGTAAATGGTGACTGGGGCTGTCAGTCTCTAACCTTTTGTGCTTCATGGAGGAGAAAAAAAAAGTCATATAGGTTTGTATCAATGTTAGAGTGAGGAAATGACCAAATTTACATTATCGGGGTGAACTAAGCGTGCTGTTAGATTGATTGTTTTATCTGTACCTGGCGGCTGGTCCATCTCAATGTAAAATATTAATTCAGTGGAATAGGGCATCATCACGTCTCTCCAGTCGTCATCTTCTTTCTCCGTATTCCACACTGTATTGTACATGGTCCGAGTCCTCTGGTGATCGACTAGGCTCTCACCGAACTGAGTAAAATCTAATTTTCAACACAGACGACTGAAAGAAACATAAAAGCTCGTCTGACTGAACGGAGCTCCACTTTAACAGTCTGAATGCCAGCTTCAGAGTAACTGCGTGTCATGAAAGCTGTCAAAGCACCAGGCTTCACTCATCCGATATCACTTGATAGAGCATTTTTTTATATATATATATATAAAAAAAAAACTCTTAACAGTCCGACAGAACAGAAAGTAGATACCAGCTCTACAATCTACTCCGTCCTACCATGACGAAACAGTAGTCTTCATTTCAATCAGCTCCTCAGGTCTACCGGCCCTTTCACTTCATGAGGAGGAGTCCATTCGGTGCGCACAGCATGGGGGGGACCTGTTCTAACCGACACGCGTGGAGCAAATTACTCTACCCGTGCTCACGTTTTAGCGGCTGATACATAAGAGAAATACTTAAAAACACGAAAAGAAGGCCGAGTTTGTAGTTATTTATTCTCATTTCGCCGTGTGCTACGGTGTCGTTTCGTTCACAAGTGACATCATTTTTCTGCACCCCTTCACCGGCACCAAATGGACTCGCCTGAAAACGGATCATTGGCTCTGTAGGTGCCGTGGAGCACGCACACTCCAGATTTGGGAGCCAATCAGAATGCGCGGCTCTCCCAACTAGTTGCCAAAGTCGGAGTCTGTACATTATTTGCAGGCGCGTGTTTCTCATGATCCAATGAACTTGTTCGGAGAGCGGAAGTCGACATTCTATTGGTCGAACCGTTACTATGATGTACAAAACTGATGGAGAGAACAGCGTTCGGTTTGAAGGAAGTACTGGGTTTGATTATATATCATATGTAAAAGATAGCATGTTGATTGGAGATATTAACAGTGCATATCAGTAAATATATTAGAAGCATCATAATAAAGAGAAACAGCTGCTCATAAAAGTCTATTATGGGCATCTGTGTTTGGAAATACAAACGAATAAATCCTGGTCAATCTGTCATTTGTGCTAATGAAATAAAGAACACGCATGCTAATAATAAAATAAAAGAAGAAACATTAACAAATAAAAAACCTTTTCAGTCAAACACTAATACGTTGGCCTATGTATGTGTTGAGTCCATCAGTCTTATAAGTTTAATATAAATATTAAGAAAAATAATGAACTTCCTCCAGGCATTTTGCAAAAATTTAATTTTTGCTAACTGTTGCCTGTGCTTCAGGATTTCTTCTGTATGTACATCTCATTAATGCAGGTTGGTGGTCTGCTTTAGGAACAATTATCTTGTGGATGGCAGTCTGTTTTCCTGTATGCCTCTTTCAGTCCCCTCTGTTCTCATACGTATGATCTATCCATCAAGTGGGAGAATGTCCCTCTATGGCCAGAGCGAAAAATAGGATCACAATGTTTGCATCTCTTTAATGCAGGACAGGGAGGAACCTCCAGATGGCTCATGCCTGACAAAGGCTGTCCTTGTCAACTGTGTCAAACTTGCTTAATTGTCACTGTCCATGCTTCAGTTCAGCATGAGCAGATGGATCCAAAACAATGACAAGCAACCGAACAGTCACAGTAATCCATAAAAAGCTGTGGGAAAATATTAATCACTTACACCCAATGCATAATGAACAAGTAATAAATGACACAGGACCATGTAAATTACGTCCATACGAGCTGTAAATTCAAGACTGATGCATTTATTTGAGGTCACTCTGTTTTTGAGACTGAGAATGTCTGGTTTGGACTAAAGTGTATTGCTAGCCGCCTCTGCAACACTGGAGAAAGACACACGTGACTGGGGATTTGAGCGTCAGAAAAGTGTGTGTGCCTTAGAAACCTTAATGCACAACCAACTGCGGCTTGTTATTGGTCCATGCCTGTCCTCTTATTGGACAGTGAGCTAAATGCTAACAGTGTTTCTAGGGTATGTCTGCAGGGTATTCAGATTTGGCTAATCCAAGATGTGCGAATTACAAAGGAAAAGATCTTGCCAACTATGTGCATTGCAAACTTTAATTAATTACCAAAGTGAGTATCTATGAACTAAGACATGGTGAATGCCAACATTAAAATCAAATGTTAGGGCCCAAATTATTAATTGTATTACAGAGAAATGTATACCCTGCAAACTAAAAACCTGGTCTTCTCTGTGGTTTAAATAATAAATGTAGTTACCAGGACATGCTTATTCTCGAGAGCATATGATTGAACAAATATCTGTGTAGTGCTGGATGAGTCATCAGTATTTCTCCATGTAAAATTTAAAAGCATATGTGCTACAAGTTTATTATTTGTCACTGTTTAGGCGTAAGCTAGCATATAGAAATAAACATAGAACCATAATCACACATAGAAATAAAAGCCACAAAACTTTGAAATAAAAATTATATTTGCATATACACTGAACAAAATTATAAACGCAACATTCACAAATTTAGACAGATTTGTGAACAATATTTGAGAGAAATAGGCCTTTTGTGTACATAGAAAAAGTCTTAGATCTTTGAGTTCAGCTCATGAAAAATGAGGGCAAAAACAAAAGTATTGCGTTAATAATTTTGTTCAGTGTATAACTTATATTAAACCACTTTTTGCCATCAGGTTCATGTCTTTAGCTTTTGTAATGTTTGCTAGCTGATGTTTCACACTATACCAGCAAGATTTATTATTTTACACTCTTTTCTCCGATTACTTAGCCAAAATGCATTTCCACATAGATTTTGTGAGCCCAAAAGGCAGGCATGACTAGCAAAAAAAGATTCTAATCTGCCTGACTACAAGACCCAGCTAAACGATGCCTAATCCTGTTGAAAGAATGAGGCAATAAGAAGGGTTAGGGAAGTTTTAAAGGTGCATCCATGACATGTAGATTTGAGGATGGTGAATGGAAGGACATTTTGATGACATGCTAATATAAAAGTCGCCTGCTTGCTGGGTGACAATAGCCTGACTGTGCTGTTTCTGTATTGACTAAATGTAGCCGTGAGCATCTCATATTTTATCTGTGACTGTAACAACTAGAGTGGAAAGTACAATTTCAGTTCAGATGCAAATAGGCGGCTTCATTGTTCCATATTTAACACAGACATAAGGGCGGCACTGAAGAGGCACACAAAACCCAGAGCTGTTGTGTGACCACTGGTGTGCATTATACATAATTCATAAAGGAGATGAAAGCTGAAAGAAGCAATATAATTGTTCCCTATCATGGAGGGGGAAATTAATTTCAATCCACTGTAAATTACACACAGTGAGCGATCACCTTTTCTGTTTTTTTCTGCTGAGCTCATGAGAATCAGGCTGCTCTCTCTGTCACTGTCTCGCTGCCTGGAAAAAGCCATAAGCTGTTTCTCTCAAAGCCAACTGAGAGAAAAGAAAAGAACAGAACAACTAGAGATGTTTCTTTAAAGGAATAGTGCATCTAAAAATTAAAATTCTTTCATCATTTACTCCTTCATGTCATTCTAAACCCAAATGACTTTACTTCCATTGAACACAAAGGGAGAATTATACTGGTTAAACTTTCCCGTCCAGTAAGTCCCCAGGAGAACTGAAGCTTTCAAAAATAATGAAAAAGTACAATAAAATAATCATAAAAGTGGTCCATATGGCTTGTGAGCTATATTCAAAGTCTTCTGAATCATACGCTAACATTACATGAGGAACAGGCCTAAATTTAAATCCTTGTTATGCTGACCAGGATATTCTTCATAAATTCCGATTTTGTGTTCCACAGAAGAAAAAAGTCAAAATTACAAAATTCCATTTGGTGAACTATCCCTTTATTGCTGCAACCTCCATGATAAATATAGACCACATATGACTAACTCACAAAGCTCGTTACAGACCGGACGCACATTATAGAAACAGTAGTTCTTTATTATCGGATACACCTTCAAGCATGACTAGATATCAGTCTCTTTTATCCACAAGGCTGCACTAATGGGCGCACTCGGCAGAAGGAGTCATGTGTCTTGGATAATGTACGCTCTGATTCGAGTTAAACGATTAGGCATACTGTCTGGTATTTGTTCTTCGCTTCTCTTCTCTTCCTGAATTGGCGCAATTTTCAGGAGTGCGAAAAGGCATAAATCACCGGTATTGTCGTGCTAGCGCGTGCGCAACAGAACGGCCCCAAAAATGACAACAATGTGTTAATGACTCTGCAAAAAAGAGCAGCACACTGGCTTATTAGCTAGCAAAGGCAGAGGAAGCCTTCCTCCATCTCCATTTCTGGGTGGCAGGCAGTCTGCGCTGCTGTGATGTCATCCTGCAATGTGAGCATCCCACTTGGACTGATGCAATACTCCGGTGACACTCGGTAACAAGCAGTCAGTGTCTGCCAATCCCCGCCCCCATGCCCCCTTCCTCTGTCTCATTGTCTTTCTCTGTCATTCTCCACCTCTTGGCCACTTTTCTTACAGTGTTCTCAAGTTTTAATCAGCCTCTCTTTCACCTCTCTACCTTTCTCTCTCTCTTTTCTCTCCCGGGTCTACTTTTCTTGTCATCCTTTTCTTTCCACACGCCTACTCCTCAGCCACCCTTCTCTCTGAACAGCCCTCTGGTTGTCATGGCATCAGGCACCATTGCTCAGCATTCTGCAGTTCAGCAGATAAAGGAAGGGCTTTTTAACTCTTGCCCGTCTGAGCCAGATCGGTCTGCGAGACACAAAGATAGTATATCAGCAGGCGTTATCCACATACCCTAGACTAATTAACAGCTTACGATGATGATTAAACAGTCCTAAAATGAAATATCAGGGATGATAAGATGAAACACTCAACAAACAGAGGCTTGATCTGTGGTTTGAAGTTGCAATTAGCCCAGCCGCAGCGTCTAAAACCCTCACAATAAAACAAGCCCATTGTTTTCTAGTACAACACCAGGGAAACCTGCTGGGTTCACCGGATATCTTTGCATTCTATCACAAGACTAAAGTGGCTAAACGAGGTCTGCAACTATGAGAGTGTGTCAACTTGAGAAGCAAATAGTAACAGATTAATGCTTTGCCATAATGGCAAGGCTGCACTTATAGAAGCCAAGTAAAGAATAGACTCTATCAAAAGATTAGAGGCTGAACCTGGGTGTGCCTCTTTAACCAGGACCGAGGTCTCATAGTGTCTCACCTACATCACTTTACTAGCTCATATTTTTGTTCTTTTTCTAACAGTTCTGGAATTTTGTATTGCAGTACTTCTCATGTAGGACCTCCTAAGGATGTATTTTCATTAGCTGCTTTGGATAAAAGTGTCTTTTAAATGAAAAAAACCCAAACCAAAA